ATTGGGGTTTCATTGAAATTATATTTCTTTAAGATCGCAGTAAGTATATGGCCGCTACCCTATATGGGGTGATATTAAAATTTAATACGATGATGAACATCAATTATACTCTGTGATTAACGACACGATATTTATTATTATCGTGTGGGCCTTCCTACCACGCTACTTTGTGACTTACCACACTAAAAGCAATAAACTCTATACGTAATCAACAATAATTATGTCAATTATTGTTATTGTATATTATTTCGTATTATGTTATTCTCCACATAATGTAGATGTTGCCAGTAAGTATAATAAATTTGTAGCATTCATTTGACATTTAATTCATTTTTCTTATTTCAAATTCTATTTTAAATAGTTTACGGGCATTTAGTTTTTGTTTTTTATTTTATTTTACCGGATTGGAAGATCCTTATGGATGTGCCTCGCACATTGGGGGATGGCGAAGGGGTATGTCGGACTCTTACCGACTAAAAACCAATCCGGTGTTCCTCTACTTGCCAATGGCCGGGGGAGCGAGCCGAAGCTGGACATTCCGCCAGCGTGTCAAGCGCTGTGTCATCAGGGTAGTCATCACAATGATGGCACCGTGACGTCAGCTCCCGGCCGATCCGACACAAGTACTTGCCGAAGCAAACATGTACGTAAAGCACCTGTGTCATCCGGAAGGTGAGAGCCCTCGTTTAATTTCCAGCCACTTTCGTAGGACGGGTCTTACCGCCGCTATTGCGGCGTGTCGTCCCTCTCCGCCACCAAGATCTGGCGGAGCACAGCCCGGTGTGCCTCTACTTCTCGAGGCACTGGTAGCTCACCCCGATCTAGAGCATCCCTGCGCCACCGATACTATATCGCAAGGGTGCAGCCCCGGCAAGTCGACTGGCCACCTCGAAAGGCATTTAGTTTGTCCAGACCGTCATCAAGGCACGAGTTTCATGGTTAATTAAACTATGTGTCAAGTTACATCTGTCAAGAGTAATAATTTTTTCCTGTTTTTGCAACATTTGTCATTGATGCTCGGTCTTCCTCGATAAATGGATTTATTACAAAAAAAAAATTTCAATTCGAACGAGTAGGTAGTTCCTCAGATCAGCGTGTTTAACCAAACAACGTAGTCCTTAGTTTCATAATTTTAATAGGTAAGTATTATGTATAGGAAAATTAATTGTTACAGTGTTTTTACAATTAATTTTATTTGCGTTTATAGTATTGCAGTAAAGAGTAAGTAGTAAAAAAAACATATTGTATAAAAGTTTTTTGTCTGTTCTTTCTAAGACAAATAAGTTAAAAACTATCTTAGTCTGACTAACTGTTTGAATTAAAAAATACCTACCTACTAGAGACTTGAAAAAAAGGAGGTTTAAAAAAATAGGTAGGTACTATGGCGCGACGTCCTGCCTAACTATCCGGGAGTTGGGATCCTTATCAAAAATAGTTTTAATTACCTCATATGTTTAAAATAATACCCGTAATTAATTCATTATTTTACCCTTAAATTTAAAAAAAAGTATATTTTTAATTCAATTAAAAAAACAGGCCGCAAAATTATGGTCACGTGACTGCGTATGACGTCGTCATTTGACAGATTATTTTTAATTTGTATGAAAATTTACTTTAAGTGTAAAATTAGCGAACTTTAACATTTTTTTATACTTAAAGAAAGAACTTGAATAGTTTGCCACAAATTCGAATCACTTACCAAATTATTATTTGTATTTTCGCGCCAACTAAAGACAAGATAAGCAAGACCGCTGATTGGTTGATAAGATTTTATAATAATTGTACGATTACGACTTATTTCCTGAGGGTCTAGAGTGAATTTGGAACCGATTTGGAAATTTATATCTTTAAGTAGCATTTAGCAGTTAGAAAATTAATTGTAGTCGTGAAGGAATGAATTAATACGTGTACCTACGAAATTTCATCGCCTCACGTTCACACAGCACGTGCTTTCTTTCGCATGATCGCATCAACGCGACGACTAAGTTTAATTGAATAAATCTGCTAAAACTCCTGTGAACGAAAAATGAATACTAATTATTCCATCACTAGTGTCGATAAATGTGGACATGCAATCATTTTTTCAGTTTGATAAGCCGCTTGGCCCGCCTTTTTAACTACTTTATGACTATTTGCATTTTCAAGACTAAAGAAGCTCGCTTTCGGCCTATGCTAATATTTATAATATAAATATAATATTTTCGGACATTGACACACAACGCCATATAGTTTCAAACTAAGCAGAGCTTGTGATGTGAAAGCTAGATCGACTGATAGAATACTTATACATATATTGTAAGTACATACTTATTATGCATAGAAAATATTCAAACTCTGAAACAAATATTAGCAGATCATACAAATATTTAGGCTACAAGAGATGAACGTGTAGTGTAAATTTATAGCTTTAGGACTTAACGCCGTGATTTATAATTTCTACAGAATAATTTGTGTTGGTAGTAGAGTAGAGCAGAATATTAGTAATTGATAAGCATGATTCAAAACACCATGAAGATAGGTATAATAAAAATAACAAGGTTGGGCCTTCTTCAGCTTACGCAAGGCGAACACTTTAAACTATATTTTTAGAGCTTTTCCGTTATGGCTATGACGTCAAAGCAACTTCTGAAACGATTTGTGGTTGAACCGCAATGATCTTTGATATGTTTCGATTCAGATTCGACCTTGCTATTCCGTAGTTAATATTTATCTAAAAGGATACAAAACCACTTCATGTTATTATGGTAGTATCCATTGAAGATCCAAATGTAGGTATTCAATTTAATTGTTTTTAAATAGATATTTTTGTAGATTAGTCTTGTATCTACTCACCCACTAGATGAAACGCAACGAAACAATAAACGCCGTTTTTCTGTGACGCCGTTTTATTACTGACCGGAGTAATAAAAGGGCGTCACAGAAAAACGGCGTTTATTATAGCCGGCGTATTTGTACCGAATAGCTCTCCCATGTATCTTAGCCACTTGTAAACTAAAATTCATTGCATTTTAGTTTAATGTCTTTAAAATTTTAAGAAAACATTCCATGTTTACCGATGGAAAATTAAGAAATAAAGTATGAGTTGGTTACAGTTTATCATGAATGGATTAAAGTTACTCTACTACTAAAGATACTCTTTTTCAAGTCATCATCTGATGATGATGACTTGACGAAGGATGGTTAAACGCTGTTGATGATTCAACAGCCTGTAACAGTCCACTGCTGGACATAGACCTCTCCTTAGAAAGGAGGTTTTGGCCTACTATACCACGCTGGTCAGACGGGTTGGTATAGAGTTTGTGTCAAGTTTTCCTTCTCTTTGCAGTATTGTTGTCCTGCGTAGTTTGCTCCCTTAGTCGGCTCTTACGACACCCACGGGATAATTGGGGGTGATGACAATCCGTATTCTTAATCAAGTGAATTATTAAAATTTCTATTCCAAATTTGACTCACGGATGGCTTGGCGGCGTGGCGACCGCTTAAACCACTAGTTTAAGCGGTCGCCACGCCGCTTTCTACTTGCTGCTGAGTGTTGTGGGTTTGACGCACGACTCACATGGGACGACGCTTTGTGTGATTCTGAGTCTGTGTGTTCTTTGTGTCCGTTTCATGTATGTTTGTAAAGTCCCCCGCGACACAGGATATATTCCGAGTGCGGTTGTATATTAAAAAAAAAAACGATTACTCGGTAGCTAGGTAATGTGTAGACACGGAATGCGAGACGAATGGGAATACTCATAGTACCACCCGCCTGCTGATGTCAAACTCTTTTTTAATCAAACTAACAAAACCAATCTAGAACTGTGCATATTGAAATCTAGTCTCGTATTCTTACCTATTCTTAATATATAGTAAAAACCCGACGTGGTCAGGTTTTTAATAGAATGTAAGAGAGAGTCACTGAAGGATCCCCCTTTTTTTTCCCTGTGCGAAAATCAGATAAATTGGTACAGATAAATTACACCTAGAGACAGAATAAATGATAATGATCGACCAACGATTAAAGAAACGATCCCAAGACCTCTGGGTTCGCAGCCAGGATCACTGACCACTAAAAATTTAGTTATTTAAATGATGAGAGTGCACCCATTAACTTTCATGTCTGATATAAACATTAATGCTGTGGTCCATAAATTATACTGATGACGTATTTTTTTTAGTTTTCTGTAGATAGGTAGTTTTAATAATTAGGTATATGTAACGAATAATCCTTGTACCTGCTCTGTGCTACTTTTTAGCAAAGCAAATTATTGGTACAGTTAGTCATTGTACACTTTGTACGGTGTTTGTTTAATGACAGCTGTGTCTATTATAAAGTTTACACATATAACATATGTGTTACTTATTAATTTAGTATTTCCGTATCTTTAGTAGGTTTCTTCAGTAGGTTTTCCTCTTTCCGAAGCCTAAAATGCCTTTAAATGTACTTAAAAATTAATCAATTTTAATGAGCATTTATAATACTCGATGGTCAACAGGTATTTTGAAGCAAGTTATATGAGAGTTTAGAATGCCTCTAAGACTTAAATGCAAGAGTCAATTCCGTAGTATTTCTGGTTAACGTGAAGTGAATGACTAATTGTCCGTGTGGTGACGGATCAAGAGTACGGAATGTCACCACCCCTATTCACCCCGTGGGTGTCGTAAGAGCCAACTTAGGGAACAAACTGCGCAGGACAACAGCACTGCAAAGAGAAGGAAAACTTGAAACAAACCCTATACCGACCCGTCTGGTCAGTGGTATAGGCCAAACCCTCCTTCCCTCCTTTCTTTTAAGGAGAGGCCTATTTCCAGCAGTGGACTATTGAAGGCTGTTGATGATGATGTAGTATGGATAATAAACTTGCAAGACTCACTTAGTTTGCACCAATTATCGTTTCGTTCAAAATTTTCAAATTCCATTAAAAGCAACTGAACGGATCCATATGTTATCTGTAAACATATGACTGACATATACCTTAATGTCAAATGGCTGTCAAAACAAAGACAAACGTTTCAAAATGCCAGGTGCTTTTGATGAAATTATAGACGATATAGAGGATTTAATATCCTCACAAGAGATAACACCTAAAGAGAGGTATGCTTCAAGAAAAAATGTGAGCGTTCGGTCAAAAAAACGTGTCAGTAAACAAGATTCAGAGCCCACTGAAAAGGTTATTTTGGAGAGTGTTGTACCAGGTAATAACCTCTAATAAATATATTTTACGATCTATTTCAAATTAATCGTAATCTCCTATCTCCGTGAAATATCCTATCAGGTGTTAATTAATTCATTCGTTCATTCCAGGTACTCAAACAATTTATGTAAAGACATGGGGTTGCGCTCACAACAACTCCGATTCGGAGTATATGGCAGGTCTGTTAGCTGCCAATGGTTACAAACTCACTGAAGATAAGTTTGATGCTCAGTTATGGTTACTCAACTCGTGCACAGTAAAAAGTCCTGCCGAAGATCATTTTAAGTGAGTGTTTAGGGTTAAATATGTGATACTCAAACTTATAAGATTATATCAAATTTATAAACTTATTTGATAGCTTCGCATATAATCATAAAAGTTAAATTTATACTTAAAAATAGTTTGAAAAGCTGATTTCTAGTTTTGGTTGTTACAAATTCATAATTGGTATGATTCGTAATTTGATATACACTTATTAAAAATATGTAAATCGAAATAGTAGGCCGAAACCTCCTCCTTAATAGGAGAGGCCTATGTCCAGCAGTGGACTATTGTAGGCTGTTGATGTAATGTGATGATGTGAAATCGAAATATAATTTTTATATTGGTCTTACTTCATAATTTGCTTATTTTTTTAATATGTGTTACTTTTATCATTTCTACTTTTTAAAATGCTAATATTTGATTCACTCAATATTTTTAAAGATGTGCTATTTTGTGTCAATTTTTCAGGAATGAGATAGAGCTCGGTCAAAGTCGTGGTATACATGTGGTAGTGGCAGGATGTGTACCGCAGGGAGCTCCTCGCTCAAATTACTTGACTGGCCTAAGTGTGGTTGGAGTACAACAGATAGATAGAATAGTAGAGATTGTAGAAGAGACACTGAAAGGTACTGTTCATAACTTTCTAAAACTTTAGTAGGGACACAAATAATCCCGTTTAGTCCTTGCGTACATGTAATTGGTGTAATGAGTGTTACGTTAAGGGACTGGACAACTTAAACTTAACAGTAGGTAACCTCTGAGGGACAGCTCTGGCACCTTTATTTTTCCTACGTACTAATCACTGCAGTCCATGTGATGACAGTTTAAAATAAAGAGTGTCACAAACCCTAGGCATCCTATGGGTGTCGTAAGATCCGATTAAGGGGTCCAAGAAAAGAGGTTGTGGCCTACTATACCACCCAGATCAGTAGGTATAGGGTTTGTAGCATGTTTTCCTTCTCTTTGCAGTGCTGTTGTTCTGCATAGTTTGCTCACTTAGTCGGCATGTTAGATTTTATATAAATTGCCTTAAATATGATGATTGGTTGATGATGTTCTTTACAGGTTGCTCTGCATAAACCAGTAAAAGTTAAAATTTATTATTGCAGTTCTTTTTTATTTCAGTTTTTTTACACCAACATCTTTTACTTCTCGAAGTGATAGACAGTAGCGTGATCTGTATGACGCAAGACACAGACAATTGCATTTTTTAAAACAGACGTTTATTCCAGGTCATACAGTACGTCTTTTCGGTCAAAAAAAGACCGGTGAAGGTCGGAAGGCGGGTGGTGCATCACTCCTTCTCCCTAAAGTGCGTAAGAACCCGCTTATTGAAATAATTCCCATCAACACAGGGTGTTTGAATCAGTGCACATACTGTAAAACCAAACATGCTAGGGGGGAGTTAGGCAGCTACCCCCCTGAAGAAATTGTGGAGAGAGCGAGACAGTCTTTTACTGAAGGTGTTGTGGAGATATGGCTCACAAGTGAAGACACCGGTAGGTATTTTTCATTGTTAGTACATTTGAAAATACCTTTGAATCTCTAGCTCTCTGGTTACACAGGAGCCAGAAGTATGTGGTGTTCCCACTCTCAGGCAGCCCGCAGCCCCATCAACTCGAAATCGGTCCTTTCCGGATCCCATTCAGCAGTCACTTTCTGGAGCATTACAGCTGTAATGTAATGCTGTGTAAAGAAAGAGAGTAATCATGGACCCTAGGCTGACTGTAATCCAGAGTGTGAAATATGTGTTTATGCAGTCACTACTATAATGTCAGCCTCTGAAATAAAAACTGATACAGGAATCAATCAAGAAAGTTGTGAAAACTCTGTCCATTATACTAACTGACAATGACTGATTCCCAATTATTGTCCATCGCCATGTAAAAGCAGTTTTTGCAGCAGTCTTAACAGAATAAATATTTTTCTTAATTTTTTAGGCACATACGGTCGAGATATTGGCAGCTCCTTACCAGAACTACTTTGGAAGCTAGTAGACGTTATACCTGAAGGTTGCAGACTTAGGTTAGGCATGACCAATCCGCCTTATATTCTAGAACATCTGTCTGAAGTAGCCAAGATTATGCATCATCCGAGAGTTTACAAGTAAGTTTGATAATATATTCTCGCTATCACGTCATAGTCAAATGTAGTGATTTCAAAAGTGTTATAAATAATAAAATTAATGTTATTTTGGAATTCCCTGGAACCCCTATTCATCCCGTGGGTGTCGTAAGAGCGGATTAAGGGAGCAAACTATGCAGGACAACACTGCAAAGAGAAGGAAAACTTGACACAAACCCTATACCAACCCGTCTGGCCAGGACCTCCTTTCTAAGGAGAAGCGTATGTCCAGCAGCAGACTAGTAAATACTTTTGATGATGATGATGAAATTTTCTAATAAATACTCTATCTAATAAAGTTACTCTTAAATAACAAACCAAACTGAAAAAGATTTTCACTAAAGTCCTGGCTTTATCATCATATTTTCGTTTTTAAACGAAACAAATTATATGAGCCCAAAATCCCAAGCCCAAATGGTGTTTAGTAGTCACCGAAGCGTTCACCGTCCACCTCTAGAGTTCATGATCAGATCATCTTGACGATACCAAATTTTGTCATCCAAACCTTGGGCGAGCCATGCTTATGCAACAATACTACGACCACAATAAAAACCAGTGTTTTTATTTTATTTATTTTTTGGATCGCCAACAAACAATTCCCATTTCTACATTAATTATAAAATATACAAAAAATTGCATCATGCTCATTCTGTTATAGGCAATCACAGCTGACAAAAGTAAAACTTGTACCATTCTAGAATAAAAAAATAAAAGCCGTGTGGTGTCGTGGGACACCCGATAGGAACGAAGTTGTGACGATCGAGTAAAACTGATTCGACACGATTTTAATTACAACGCCATCTATGAAAGCGGCTATTACCTACATATTTTTTAGTTGGTTTCTAATTAAAACAATTTATACATTAGTAAAATCTCCTTGAGAAATGATTTCCTGTCTATTCGATAGATGGCGCTGAATGACTGACAAGTGACAATTCAAAATAAATACTGAGATGAAAAGTAATGATTTCCTATCTATTCGATAGATGGCGCTGAATGACTGACATAAAAAGTGTCGTTATAACTTTTCGTGAGAATTTTTTCCGTCTAGCCCCCTTTCACAACGCGCGATAAGGAACTTCGTTCCAAAAAAAAAGACAATAATAGAATAATATAAAAGAAAATGAAAACTATTAGGTTAAAAAAGAAGCTATTAAAAACACATATCACAGACTATTTAAATTTAAACCTAGGTGAACTTTTGCTTACCCAAGTTTAGACTCAAACTATAGCAAACTATGTCCAAAAATTTCCAAATCTAACAATTTTGCAATTCTATCCTTGCATTTCATTGTGTGAATGGTATTAGAGACTACATAAATATAATAACTCTGGGGAGAGCACTCAAAGTCCTGTAACGCACTTGTGTGTTGGGAGCTGCAGGTTTCCATAGGTAACGGAAGCCACTTATCATTAGGTGACCTCTGCCCAATGTACATAGAAAACGGAATGAATATTCACCCTTTAACTCATTATGACCATGGTGAAATGCCCTCAGTATTATATGTCTCCAATATAACATTGTCCAGGTTTCTCCACGTGCCAGTACAGTCAGGGAGTGACCAGGTGCTCTCTGATATGAAGAGGGAGTACACCAGAGCTGACTTTGAACGTGTAGTCGACTTTCTCAGACAAAAGTAAGTTCATTAATATGATTTTGGAGATTCACACACACACATCAACAGCCTATAATAGTCCACTGCTGGACATAGGCCTCTCCTTAGAAAGGAGGTTTAAAGATTCGCGTTATGATTTTTATAGTTGTGTGGTGCTGACACGTGGCGCCATCTGTTATCGATTAGCGGAACTAATGTCATGCCTCAGAAATATATAACATTTCAGAATGTTACACGATGTACTTAAAAGCTCCCAGAGTGGTGTCTGGTTATGTTATTATTGTTTATGCTACCAATTTAAATAAATCGGGGGATTGATCTAATTACAAACTTCGGCTCGTAAAAATACTGTTCCTGGCTGTTCAAAAGTGAGCCCTCTACTTTTGACTGTAGCCTTTATTGAATCTCTAATGCCCCTATCCCAATATATATATATATATATAAATAATATCTTCACATGGCCTCAAACCGTGTGGCGACGGATTAATACAGAGTGTCACCACCCCTATTCATCCCGTGGGTGTCGTAAGAGCCGACTCAGGGAACAAACTACGCAGGACAACAGCACTGCAGAGAGAAGGAAAACTTGACACAAACCCTATATCAACCCGTCTGGCCAGCGTGGTATAGTAGGCCAAAATTTCCTTTCTAAAGAGAGGCCGATGTCCAGTTAAAGGCTGTTGATGTGATGTGATGTGATGGCCTCAACCTAGACAGAGCCTGTACTATGGTAACTGAAAAATGCTTATAATGCTGATAATGTTTGACGACCGGATGGCGTAGTGGTTTGTGTAACGGACTGCTATTCCAAAGGTCGCGGGTTCGATTCCCGCTCAAGTCAAACATTTGTGTGCATGAACATTGGATGTTTGATTTGGTCTGGGTGTTTCTATGTATAATATGTATGTATTTACAAAAAAAAAGTATGTATTATGTATTTATATCAGTTGTCTAGTACCCATAGTACAAGCTCTGCTTAGTTTGGGACTAGATGGCTTTGTGTGTATGTGGTAAAAAAAAAAAAAAAACAAAAACCATTCCACCCAGACACAGCACAAATGATCGTGCTCATCACATAATTATTTGGCTATGGCTATGCCAGAATGCTCTCTATATAGTGGAAGAGGTCTAATAGCAACCTTCATTCCCAGGGTCCCCGGCATCACAATAGCAACAGATATAATATGTGGGTTCCCCGGCGAGTCTGATGCGGACTTCGAAGACACCATGAGACTGTGCGACAAGTATCGTTTCCCTTCGCTATTCATCAACCAGTTCTTCGCCCGACCTGGTACTCCTGCAGCTAAGATGACCAAGGTACTTTCTAAATAAACTTTCACCCCCATAATTATTCGGAAAAAAAATTGCCTGGTGGTACACCCGCCCGCAGTATTTCCTGGCTTAAAGGGCGGCCACACGTTTGTGACTTCCGAGTTGCAGGCGTTCATTGGCGGCGATAGTCACTTTCCATCAGGTGACCCGTCTGCTCGTTTGCTCCCTGAAGATCAATTCACAATGTGGTGGCAGTGGTCGGGGGCGCACCTTTCGGCAGTTTCACCAACAAACCATTTCCAGCATCATCTGAAATTCTTGATAAAACAGTTGAACAAATTTGGGTGAAATTAAGCACAGGGATAGATTACAGTTTGAAATTGCATATAGGTTACGGAAAACTATCTTAAAAGGAAAAAGTTAGTTTTACAATGAATTACATATTTCTGATCTCCATCATCATCATCATCATCATTAACAGCCTTTAACAGTCCACTGCTGGACATAGGCCTCTCCTTAGAAAGGAGGTTTTGGCCTACTATACCACGCTGGCCAGACGGGTTGGTATAGGGTTTGTGTCAAGTTTTCCTTCTCTTTGCAGTGCTGGTGTACTGCGTCAGCTCCATTAGTCGCCTCTTACGACACCCACGGGATGAATAGGGGTGGTGACACTCTGTATTCTTAATCCGACACCACACGGACTTAAAATAACATAATTTTAACCAAAAAAATCTGTTTCAAAACAGGTACCCGCAAAAGAAGTAAAAAAACGCACAAAAATGTTATCCGAATTATTCCGCTCATACGAACCGTATGGCCACAAAGTCGGCGAGGTGCATAACGTCCTTGTCACAGACATATCGCACGACAAGAATTATTTCGTGGCCCACAATGAGTTTTACGAACAAGTTCTGGTTCCTAAAGTGGAAAAGTACATGGGGAAGATGTTAACGGTGAAGATCACGAGCGCTTCTAAATTCTCTATGATGGGGGAGCCCATAGACAAGCCGAAGATGATGGGTCTGACTGCACCGTTGAAGAAGGGGGAGGTGTCTGGTGTTCAAAGCTTGCAAACTGGAAAGAAACTGCCTTTACCTATAGTGGTTTTGTTCGCTGCGGTTGTTTTCAGATTGATTTGGATATTTTTATTATAAGTGAATAAATTCGTTTTAAGAATTTTTTGTGTTTTTTTTACTTTTCTGTAATAGTTTTATACGGGCTGAGCAGAGCAACTTCTTCCACGTCTCAAAAGAAATAAATTTCCCTAGTCTTTGCAATATTTTTATTTGATACTCCGCTTCTTGGGTGGTAGTTATATTGCCTTGGGGCCTTCAATAAATGGGCTATCCAACACAAATAATTTTTAATTTCAACCAGCAGTTCTTGAGATTAGTGCGCTCAAACAAACGAATTCTTCAGCTTTATGATAGTTGTGTAGATAAAATTAGTACATAAAGAAATAATTTTAAAACTATTAATTTATATTCCAAATATATTGTTCACTGTTCCTAAATAGTCGCAGTTTACACACTTCAAAATCAGTCAAGTTCGAGTCTACAGCGTGTTCTGTGAGTTCAGAATCAGAACGCTTTATTTGTATACATAGGTAGGTACGGTTACAATGGTATGTGACGTTTAAATGACAACTCCTGCATTAGGAATATATCCTGTGTCGCGAGGAACTTTAGAAACATACATGAAACGGACACAAAGAACACCCAGACTCAGAACAATAATTTCACACAAAGTGTTGTCCCTTGTGGGGTTTGAACCCACAACACTCGGTGTAGTAGGAAGCGGCGTGCGACCGCTTAAACCACTACGCCATCCGTGCAATAAAACATGATAAATAATTTAGGCACAAAAGATAATTTAAACAATAATCATAATTAATATCATGTCAAAATAATAGTGCGTCATCATTGTAATAATTAGTAAAATTGTTAGATAAATGGCTTGGAATTTGGCAGTTCTATAATGGCGACAATTATCTATGTTCGAGTGTCAATATTTTACAATTAATCATAGTACACAGTGAGTCTAAATTTATAAAACGGAAATGCAAGTTATACCTACATAAAAAAAGATCAATATTTTTTTAAAAGAATAATTATAGAATTGTCGTCCAAAAACCTTTTAAATAGTAGTAGCATTTGTCTATAGGTATATTTAGTAGTTTCTTTTTGAATTGGTCCAGATTTAAATAATATTTTTTCAGTAAAAACTTCTATGTAGATAATCCGTACATTACTTGAAATAATTCTCGAAGATTTTTGCCCATATTATATCGAGTGATGAGTTTATTTCTCCAAGTCTAAAAATATTATCCCATGAATACATCATTGTAAATTTTTCAATTACAAAAAATGTGCAACTGCCTTTACTTTTGCTCTGACACCTTTTTTTTTACGTGTGGAAACCCCCTCGGGCCGTCACTCCACCGGGGTTTATGGCGGGGTGGTGTGTCGGAATCGGACCGACTAAAACCACACGGTGTGCCACTCTGCGCCTTTTTTTTTTTTTTTTTTTTTTTTTTTTTTTTTCCGTGCGGAAATCCCCTCGGATACCACCTGTGGGTGGCATGTCGGACTCGAACCGACTAAAACCGCACGCCTTCGCCGGGTACTAATAGCCGGGGAACCAGGTATACCCTAGAAAGGAAGGCCCTGGTGCCCCGACATACCTCGGGTCATCTACAGACGAGTAGACGACCCCCGCCCCGTGTGGGAACCCCATGTTCCCTGTGCTCCCTGAAAGCGAGCGCGCTTCGCAACGCGCTCGCCGCCACCCCGGCCTGCTTCTGCTAGGGTGACAGATGGCCTCACCTGTCACCCCCAGGCCTGCGCTTATGGAGGACGAAGGTCGTTCTGCGACCTCCGGCGCCTGAGTCGCCTGCGCTGCCTGGCCTGCCACTCTGCGCCTGTAATCGAAGGGATCCGGGAACTGCTGTTATTAAGACATCCGGACCCAAACAAATATGTCATGTCCCTCCAACAAAGGGAGGATTCTCCGACCATGCGAGGTGATCATGCCTAGCGGGCCTCGGCCCTTTGCTCTGACACCTAGTTCTCGCCCATGATTTTAGGTTAACGTAAGTTGCACCAGGGACTTCCTTTCTAGGGTATACCTGGTTCCCTGGCTATTAGTACCCGAGACGGCGTGCGGTTTTAGTCGGTTCGAGTCCGACATGACAGGTGGTATCCGAGGGGATTTCCGCACGGAAAAAAAAAAAAAAAAGGTTAACGTAAGTAGCTATGTTTGTTTCGATATTTTTTTTTTATGGTATAAGGGGGCAAACGAGCAGACGGGTCACCTAATGGTAAGCAACTACCGCCCCCCATGGACACCTGCGGCTCAAAAGCCACAAGTGCGTTGCTGCCCTTGGAGTCCCTCCCGTTCGAGTCGACCGGAAGGGGAATTTGGGCTCCGGTAACCTCACTCACTCAGAGAAAGGCAACGAAAGAATTGCTGCGCTCGATTATGTTATCTAAAGCTTCATTTTCTTACAGCTTCAAGGGACCGCAGTTACTAATATCAACTTGGTAAAAAATTACTTGATAAAGAGAAATCAATATTTAAAAATAGAGGTGGCATGGAAAAAAAAAGTCTTGACAGACAGAGGGACAACGACATGATCTGGATCTAAGGGTTCCTATTTGTTTTTGAGGAACGGAATCCAAAAAAAATCAGTGTCAATTTATCGGGTTCTGTTCCATGTGTACTAGGATTCATGATGAATTTTATGAATAATTAAAGTTTCGGGAACGTTAGTGAGCCCATGCTTATAATGTAAAAATGAGTTTGTTTGTTTGTTACGCCATGAATCATAAACCACTATACCGATTTTAATAATTCTTTAACCAATGGAAAGCTACATTATCAGCGAGTAACATCGGCTACTTTTTATTGCAATAACAACATAGGTACACGCCGGTGGAGCCGCGGGCAAAAGCTAGTCGAAAATATGTTTAGGTTACATTTTTTCAGTCATAGGTTGTAAGTCCGCCCCCTCAACCCAATGTAGAAAGATATAGTTCTTTTCTAATTAACAATTGATTTTACCATCTAAAATACGCAGGACACCAACACAAAGAGAAGGAAAACTTGACACAACCCCTCCTTTCTAAGGAGAGGCCTATGTCCAGCAGTGGAGTATTAAATCCTGTTGATGATGATGATGATGATCTGTAGATTGAACCATCTATTCTTTATCCACCAACTCAAGTACTAACGTCCTGACAACCATTTGGTTCCCACCTGCCCAGGGCATAAATTAGAAAAATGCTCAATCTTCACTTCTCTCCCTTATTATGATTCGTGTCCTCTCCGAACCGTTCACTAACACACCCATTTTAGAAAAACTTGGCAGTCAAAGGATCTAGTATGTTGTCCTTTTCTTCCATGTTCTAGGCACAGCTAAAGCGAACATAATCTCACATATATTTACACAATAGACTAACGAAATAAAAATGCGAGCATAACAAATACTTGTTTGAAACAATACGTTACATCCAGTTTCTGACAAAGGCTAACACGCCCTGGTGCGCCCATTCACGTAACTTTATAAAAGGATCGTACATCTGTCTGTCCCTTCGTAGTATAATTTCTGTTAGGTATCTAACTGAGTGAGTGTAAAATGGCGGCCCATAATCAAGCTTCAGCGAAACGTCAGAAGACTAGAGAGCCGAGACAGGATATTGTTGATTATTTTCAAGGTAATTGGGTGAATTTTTGATTGATAAAATCTTGTTTTGAGGGCGTAGTACTTGGCCCGTACTGAACTCTTCACACATCGCAGCGCTGAACGCTATCAGCGTGACGGTTGAGGTGATTTAAAATAAACTTACACTAGGTCCTCAGAAAACTGCTCGTATAGAAACCTGTCGCCCAGGAAAGCATCTTCATTCTTGTTGAACTTACATATTAGGTACAACGCGTTCATATTCGCTTTCTATCAGGGATGTATGTGCTTATTTATTACTCCAGTTACTTGTATAATAAAAATAATAACTTTACACATCTCACTCACAGCCGTCAGATCCCAAAATAGGCAGAGATTGTATTATGATAGACTGCTGATAAACATACGTATATATTTCTAAATACACACATATTATATCTAGACACAGAACAAATGATCGTGCTCATCACACAGTTATTTGTCCTGGTGAGAATCGAACCCACGACTACTAGCTAAGCAGTCAGGTTCACTGACCACTAGACCAATCAATAGTTGGTACTTGGTATTCCATCACTAAGATCTCTTCAAGAAACTTTTTGAATCAAAAATGAATCTGTGAAACAAATTGTTGTGTCTATTGAGTTACAGATGTCCCTGAGTGTAGGTAGTCACTTACTATCAGAGGATCTGTCTGCTCGTTTAACCCCTTTATAAAAAAAGAGTAAGGAGTTATCTCTGACAATAGTTAATTGATTTTAATCATCCATTTTGTATTATGGAGTTTGTTAAAATTAAATAAAGTATAGAAAAAATAGTTAAGAACTAAAGTTGTATGGTATAATTTAGGCTTATAGATGGTGGTTTGTTCTATTATTTACTTCTTCCACTCCAGGTATAGACAAGATAGAATACAACAACATGGCGTCGCCGTCAGAATCAACTAATTACCGTTACTATAACAGTTCAGAGCGCATCCATTCCCGGTCCATGGAGGAGTGGCTGAAGTTCAGCATCTCTCTTAGAGAATTCAGGAATAATGGTTCGTAAGATACTTAATCTAATAAGTACAACATTTGGCTTCATTTGAGGGATTACAAGAACACTGATATATAAGCCACGTCACCAGTATTGTTTTTAATCAACTTCTAAAAAATAAAAGCGGTTCGCAAATCAGTTGTTTTTTTTTGTTAGCTCAGAACTCCGTCATTTATGAACCGATTCGAAAATTCTTTTATTTAACTTACCATAAAACCATACTGTAGGTATACCCTCCAAAACAAAAGTATTTATTATTATCTCTGGTATTGCTATAGACATAAATAACCAGCCCACTTATATTTCGATGATAGCTGTTTTAGGATCTTAAATTTCACTTTATACAAGAGTGAAACCAATTTAAAGAAAACATTTTGAAACAGATAAATTGGAGTTTAAAACTACCTTTTAATATAATAATAATAACTTCACACATCTCACACACGGCAGTCTGATGCCAAAGAAGGCAGAGCGTGGTCTATGGTAAGCAGACTGCTGATAAACATACTTTGTAATTTCTAAATACATTAGATAAATTCCACCCAAACACAGAACAAATGATCGCACTTATAACTCAATTATTTGTGTGAATGGGAACCGAACCCATGACCTACAGCAGTCTCAGTGACTGACTAGACCAACACGCCCACCAAAGATATTTTTTTTTTGTCATTTCTTCCTTTTCTCTGATAACAAAAAATTGCTTTAAGGTTCAGACGCACACGGCCGTTCAACATACTCCCGCGCCTGGGATGACAACACAGACTCCATAGACAATCACAAGCGCTGTATAAAGGCACTCTTCGACCTTTGTTCCAAACTTGGTATAAAATACTGGTCGGCCTTCGATTCTGACTTAATACCGTACTCTGAGTCTTGGGAAGAGAACAAGAGCCACTTCGATGATATAGTGGAATATATAAGAGAGTTGACGCAAAGATACCACGTTAAGTTGTTGTGGATAGCTCCGGACCTGCATTCACATCCAAGGTATATTCTGGTTTTCTGCTGTTATTATTTAAGGGCCAGTGGCCATTAAATGAACGCTTCGCTAATAACACGATTTCTACAGTAGTCAAACAATGATTAAAAAGGGATGAAGCCATGAAGGTGAATTTAGAATATGTCATGACCTGAACTTTGTTATCTTATATATTCGTTAGTTAGTAATTCGCTACCGTTGCCAGCCGGGAATATTAATCAAAAGTACATTGTTCAAATAGTGAATTAGAACTTGACCTATCAAGTCTTTAGCTGACAACTCAGTACCTACTTTGGAAAAATCTCCCAGAATCCAGGATCTCTTCATTATTCATTAAATTATGTTTCCAGATACGTTTCTGGTGCTTTAACGAGCAACGATGCATCCGTTTTCATTCAAGCAGCCTCACAGATAAAGAAATGTCTAGAAGTCGCACAAAGATTGAATGCAGAATGCTTTCTACTATGGCCGTACAGAGAAGGCTACCATGCACTCTTCCAAACTGACGTCGCCAGAGAAATCAAATTATTTGCCAAAATGCTAAAATTAACAGCTGATTATAAAGAGAGACTCAATTATCGCTGCCAGTTGTTGATAATGCCGTATAATAATATCTACCATAGTAGAAATAGTTACGGTAACTGGCAACACTCGCTTCAGTGCGAAAGAGATTTGATTCACACTTACATGTGGGATGTTACCAGTTGTCTGTATTTGTTGAAGAGTTATAACCTGGATCGATATTATAAGATTTTTGTCCCGCCTGGACTTCATATGCCAATGGCCAATGTGTAAGTTTTTTCTAAGAACACGACATTGATATTTTTTTTATAAAGGAGGTCCGTAATTACTTTATATACGATTGAAAACATACATACGATAGGGTACCTCGTATACATAATAAAATATCGTATTTTTAGAATTCGATATAAGTTTTTTGATTATTCCATAAAAAGCATAGGTTCCACAAAACCCTGTTACAAATCTTGTGTATATACTCTAGTACCAAGTAAGGACGTCCAAAGTTTTCTCGAGGTCATTGAGAAACCTATGAAAATAAACTTAAAAGCAAAATATTATAAAAAAATAACAAAAAACCAACAAAGGGAGTATAGACGCTAAGGTGTTTGTACATGAGTTAGGGCGCAGGCTGAACAAAGTGAGTGGTGACTCCCGCTCAGGGTCGTTCCTGGTGCAGAGGTTGGCCGTGGCCATTCAGCGTGGAAACGCAGCTAGCGTTATGATCACCTTTGCGCCGGGAGCGACCAGGGCTGGGTTATTTAATATATAGAGAATTTTAGTTAGAATACAATTGTTATTTTTGCCTAAGATTGCGAATAAATAATAAACAATTTTCTTATTTTAACGACAATAAACAAACATTTTGAATATGTTTGCTTCTAAAACCTGTTTCGGAGATACACAAAAAATATTAATGTATAACCTACACGAGAACTGCTCATTCGAAGTAAAAATATATTTGTATGTGTAAATCAAGCTAAATCGAGTGATATGTACTTTTTAAGGAGAATATTGAAGGAAAGTACTCATAAATTCACCTATTGCAGGTACAATATGCTCGGCGGTGTAACAATGACAAATAATGAAGATCATTACGACAGCAAACTTCTTACCTTAATGATGAAATGTATAGTTGATCAGGTGAGGATTGTACTGATTTAAATACTCGTTATACACATATAATTCAAAAAAGAATATATTTGAAACTCAAAACTCATGCACGTCATGGCAAGGGATCCTTCGGCATCCTTACCCACACTGACGGCATTTATTGACGGGGAGTCCTCAGGCATGGCGAGATGTGCTTGGAAATATCGAGGAGTTCTCAGGCATGCCAAGATGTGCTTAGGAATTCTGAGGGGTTCTCAGGCATGCCAAGGTCTGTTTAGGAATGCTGAGGAGTTCCCTCGTATTCCAAGGTTTGATTAGGAATACCATCAGTGACGGTGTTTTCAAGCAAATGGTAGCGCGCGCGGGTGCGGTCGATTTCGTTTTTATTAGTCTTGGGGTTGTCGTGATATGTTTACATAATTATTTTACAAAAACAACAGACATTTTTAAGTAAAAAAAATGTTTCTATCCTTGCGGGAATCTACCAATAGGTAATAAAATTATTTTTATTTTCGTGAATAGGGGACAACACCGGCTGGTGGTATAAACTTGATGCTGTATCCTCGAAGGGACAGTGACCTTCGGGAGTTGACGACTACGTACGTCAAATACATCGACGCTGTTGCAAAGGCGTTGAGATTGGCGTGCAGCATTATCTCCGATCAGATAATATCTAAACATTTGCAGGTTAGAAACCAAGAAAAAATCGATTTCCAGTACCAAATTGTCTAAGAGAGGTTTTAGACTAGTGTTTTATACGCGCGTATAAGCTTGATTTTGGAAGCTCATGTAGGCGCGGTGAAAACCACCAGAAAACCGGTGTTAAGCAATTCTTTCGTTGCCTTTCACTGAGTGAGTGAGGTTACCGTAGCCCAAATTCCCCCCTTCGCTGACTCGAGCGGGAGGGACTCTTGTGACTTTTGAGTTGCAGGTGTCCATTGGCTTTTGCTTACCATCAGGTGACCCGTCTGCTTGTTTGTCCCATTATACCATAAAAAAATCGGTTGTCTGTAAAGTCGGTTTACTGACGATAGTTGAACGTGACAACGTCATAAGAAAATACTGATGGAATGGTTGCATTTTTCAAAAATGTATTATTGTATACGAGTAGCAGCTGTCCACGCGGACGCATCGCTCACTCAAGTAGGAGAGAGACAGATGTCGAACGCTGCCGAACGCGGAGGCCGATTGTGCCTCTTTGTCACTCGTTCCGCGCTCTCGCTTGCACTTCAAGCCTTAAATGGAACGCCTCAGAGCGAGGTAACGCCGCATGAGTCATGTTTTTTCGTGCGTGCAGCCGGCTCCATCGAATTATAAGACGTTGTCACGTCAAAAATTGCCACCCGAGGGCCATTTAAGCACAATAAAAACGCTAGTCTGAAACCGTCCCAAAAAGTGTAGTGAACTTAATCTTCCTGTAATGTCAATTCGATTGTTTTACAAGTCTAAAAGTTCTTTGGACCCTTATTTGGGTGTTTGAAAATTACCCGCAAAAGAAGATTAATTTTCTAGTATGGCCGGTTTCTTTAAAATAATAATTATCTGTGCATTGCAGCAACGTTATTCGACGTACTACAGTGGCTTTGGATCCCGACTTGTGGGTTCTGATATAACGATGGAAGAATGCGAGGAGTATTATAAGTAAGGCTATATATTTAATGTTTTTTCAAATAGTTTAATTGAATAAACTGCTCTTAAGCCTCAATTGGTGACTGTGACCAGTTGCACAGTAGTAGGTTATGGTTTATTAACTTTATTCACGTGGCTCCTGTAACTACTCATAATTTTTATTTAAATTAATAATTAGATACATCTCACTCGCTGCCGTCTGATCAAAAGACATGTAGCCATACTGCTTCTAAAGATACTTGTTTATTCAAATCATAGATAAATTACACCATGACGCAGAACAAATAACCATGCTCATCCCACAACTGTTTGTTCTGGGTGGGAATCGTACCCTGGCTAAGCAGTCAGGAACCCTAACCACTAGACCATGTTTACGGCTAACTTCCGTCAGTCAGTCTTATTTTCGTTTAATTGTGACAATGTTATGCTGTTACAGGAAGAATCAGTGTCCTCATGGTGAATTGATGTCGAAACACGAACACCTGGACGTGGTGTTCCAGCGCCACCTCGACGCCTGCGACCATATATGAGGTCGCTTAGTCACATTAATGTATTATATTTGAATCTAAATAATAATACAACATGGAATAGGCTAGTTGACTTAATTTGAAAACTTGGTTAATTATATACACTAATATCTATCTTATCCCAAAAAACCTATCATCAACAGCCATTACTAGTCCACTGCTGGACATAGGCCTCTCCTTAGAAAGGAGGGTTTGGCCTACTATACCACGGTTTGTTTCAAGTTTTCCTTCTCTTTGCAGTGCTGTTGTCCTGCGTAGTTTGTTCCCTTAGTCGCCTCTTACGACACCCACGGGATGAATAGGGGTGATGACTTTCCGTATTCTTAATCCGTCACCACACGGACAAAACCTATATTTGAAAGAAAAAGCATTATTTACATACATTGCGTATTTTATATTAAAAAGAAACAATTTAAATTTCCCTTGAAAACGCTGAATAGTGTCATGGCGTCTTGAATGACGTCACAGTCTGCGAAACAAAACTGTTTACTTCTGTGTCCAGTGTCAATTGAAACTGTATTAAGGTGAGAAAATATGCTAAAAACGGAAAAACAATTAGGAGTAACCTGCTCTGTTGTATGAAAACGTCAACAACAACAATGATGTTTTGCATGGCATGATGTAACACTTTCTGATTGGTGATATGTATTTTGTTCGAATTTATTTTTTAAAAATATTAATAATCTTTAACTTTTATGAGAAATAAACTATTTTTTTTTTATCTATGTCTCTTCATTTATAATTTGAAACTATAAACCAAGCAATTTATAAGTGGACACAAGCCTACTCGTGATTTTTTTGCTTTTTATTTATTTATTTTTATTATATAAGTCTGGAGGTGATCGCTTTTTTGTAACCACCTAAACATGGTCGGATTACCACGGACTTGCACCTTCTAATGACTTTTATTTAATTATCTCGTAAATTATTATACGTACGACGCTGAAATTCTACAGGTAGACAACTGAACTAAACAACTAATTATTGGCATAACATTCAGTTTATATATCCACACACAGGTTTATCGGTGGCCAAAAAACGCCGCACACATTGTGATCGTGAACGTGGAGAGCTACATTTCATCATAACTTTTTAGTCACTAACAGTATACTAACGAAAATTCGTATACATTTGAAGGTAGTTACAAGCAATAGAATAACGTTTCAAGTAAGTCTTTAGAGGTCTTATTTAAAGTGTTAGGACGTATTGAAGTGTTTTCATACTTACCTAAGTAATTTTTAAACGGTCCATTATTTTTGTTATTTTATTGTCGAACAAATTAAAACTAATCCTTAAGAAGTTATGTACAAAAGATGGTTACAATCCGCTTACCCGTTTCAGAGATCCAGCAAACCCACAAACGTTACTCCAGCAGGATTTCGAATAACTTCGCAGCCGAAGAAAATACAAATACCAAATAAGTTGTAACATTTACCTAGTCCAGATAACTAATTATTTAGCTAAAATTTATTTCAATATTACAATTAAAAAAGAAAATGTCTGGCTGCGGTAACGTTTCAAACGTTACCCCAGCAGGAAATGTTTTTTTGAAATAACTAAAAAAGTTTAAGTGAAACAAATTTAAAAATGTGCCTAACAATTACGGAAGGGGAGCAACTAATTATCTATAACGTTTAAATGACCATTTTCGACATTATTTTGCTGGGGTAACGCACACGATTTCCGCACAGACAAAAAAAGGTACCACGTATAAGACTAACCATTTGGTCCAGGCTAAAAAGTTGTTGAGATCATCCTTTGTGTGAAAATTAAGTTTCATGAAGTCTGACTCACACGTGCATTAGTCACTTCACTAGCTACGTATAGGCGTAACCAGGACAGAGGAAGCAGCTGCCCTCTCCAGCTCCTCAAATGGGTATGCCCATACTTAAAGGCACATGAACGTATTCCTACATCAATACAATGTACACATTATCATCATCATCACATCAACAGCTTTTAATAATCCACTGCTGAACATAGGCCTCTAATTAAAAAGGAGGTTTTGGCCTACTATACCACGCTGGCCAGACGGGTTGGTATAGGGTTTGTGTCAAGTTTTCCTTCTCTTTGCAGTGCTGTTGTCCTGCGTAGTTTACTCCCTTAGTCGGCTCTTACGACACCCACGGACTGAATAGGGGTGGTGACACTCCGTATTCTTAATCCGTCACCACACGGAGGTAATACAATGTACAGGTAGAAAGAATAAAACAAATAATCTCATTCAAATCTTTTATTTCGTATTCGCATTATATTTTCTTTTTTTTCAATTTAATATTTACAGCGCCTTAACTCTATACATCGGCTATGTACCATTATTGTACATAAAGTTGTGCAGTTTATTAAATAACACTTTGAATCCTAAATTGTCCATAAAAAATAAAATTTACAAAAATATCCCGTTTATAATAATTTATCATGTTAAGGTCTAAATTATATAACTCAATGTTTTCTTGTCAAAAATAGTTTTAAGCATTTTTTTTTTGCTGTACTGTTTCGCTCTGCATTTAGTTTCAAATCAGGAGCGAACATCTGGCGGTCAGCTTAAAGTAGGTTTTTCAGTTTCCCTCAAAACTCCTTGAGGAGTCCCTACAGACCTTTTTCAGAGTTAAATTAGACAGGTTATCATGAAGATATATAGAAAAAAAAAACCTATGTAACATGCATAGTTTAGCGTTCAAAGTGTTACAGTTCAAATTATTGGTTATATAAAAAAAACATTTATGGATTAGAACCCAACAACGTATTGGCACTGAACGATCGACAACTTATAAAACTGATCGCCCAACAATAGTTACATGTCATACCTTCATACATATTTAACAATTTAAAAAAGACAAAATTACATTTCACAGAAACTTGACTGCTCAATCAAAAAATATTTAAAAATAAAAGTCCAGTTCATCTCTCTATTTGAGAGGTAATACGAACAAAAAATTAAAAATAGTGCATTAAAAACAAATTAAGCACAATCGTTAAGTAGCAAATTATAACTAAGCTTAAAACTACAAACAGTACACAAATACTGTTCAATAAATACTAAAATTACGCTAAATAATATCATGATTGTTTTTTTTTACAAAAGCGAGGTTTCCTATTTTTAAATCAAATGCCAATTTCTCTAATATATACATATAAAATGGTTTAAGATAAAACCGCGAACATGAATATATCCTAATACTGAAAAAAAGAAAATGGCAGTACATTAAATTAGGAATGAAAAAACTGTAATAAGTGTTATTGGATGAATTCAGTATGGTTCCATTGCACAGTATATACTTAAAAAAAAGCCCACAAAATATTTAGTGTGGTAACATTGCCGAATTCTAAAAAGTTAATTTTGGTACGAGTTCTCATAAACATTACTGAACCCTGATTTAACTCCAAGTAACAATAATGAAATACACAATTTCATTATATCATTGTAAATGTATCCTGTTTAGTACCAAAAATTACTACATATAAAGTCAATTTACTCGAGCTGACATAATAAATGGTAGATTTTTTCAAATTACCATAAATCATTTGCAAAAAAACTACCACATATTGAAGTTACCCCTGTTCAAAGTTACCCCGCCTTGTCAACGTTGCCGATCACATTTCATTTATATAGACAACAGTATAAAATTACTCCAAAAATGGGACAAACCGGCATTTTCCTAACTAAAATATCCAAGATAATTTATATTTCTAACTGAGACCTAAACGTTCACTGGACTAGAGGTATTAGAAAACATATATAGCTAGTTTTTGCCCACGGCTTAGCCCACCTTAATGTAGATATATTATCAGACAAATAAGGTAATACTCAAGTTATGTTAGGTAGGTATTAGGTGTTAATAAACTAAAATTTACTCTCGTCACGTCCTGACTAGTGTTCCCGAGGACTATAGGCTTTTCGCCTTTTTTTAAGGCTAGACTCGAAATTAAGGGGCTTGATAGGCTAAAGGCCTATAACGTCTTTTAGTCCTTTAGGCTAGGCTTATTCAAGACTCTTGGTTTTAGGTCCAAAGTCTTACAAAGGCCTAAGCCTTTTTAAGGCTGGTCTAACAACAGTAACACTTATTAACCCTCAAAAAGTGCTATGAAGCTTTAGTCCTCGCGTCTGTAGCCATATAAGTAACTATGACTTCATCATCATCATCATCAACAGCCTTTAATAGTCCACTTCTGGACATAGGCCTCTCCTTGGAGGTTTGGAACTATGAACTAATTTTTTCATTATATTGTTAACTCTGTCTCTCTTAAATATTGTCGATTTTTCGCAAGTATTTACTTTCAGTGGATCTCCTCTCTCCTCCTCCTTCCATTGCTCTTTAAATATGATCCATTTTTTATGAGTTCAATGTAAAAAACGTAACAAAAAAGAAACTGAACTGTGTCGATAGGTATTTGAAGTTATAAACTGAGAGACCTTCTACGTTAAAACCAAAAGTACATCGGTTGAGTCCATGGTTGAGTCAAACAAGCGCTAAAATATGGCATTTTATATTTTATCTATATCTGATACAAGTGTTCTCAGTGAACAATCCTTTTTCGAAGAAGGAAATTTGATTAATAGGAAAGGAAGTCCCCGTCTAATAAAAACATTAGTCCCTCAATGTGCCTTTCTCATTGCTAAATTGTTTTCGCGATACTTAGGTAAAATTATACTTTAATTTTATTTTTCTTAAAATAAATGCAATATAAAATTAATGTTGTTTTCTTATGATGGCTTAGTAAGACTGAGTCTCAAAAATGGCTTCAGCCCTCATAAAGCCTGTTGTTTGCGCGTGGATCCGAACGCACGGGACCTCGCGCTGCGGGGTGCGGGGAGGCGAGCCGACTTCCGCGCCGAGCCGACGCGACGAACTAGGGGTGTCCACTTACAAAATATATCGATATTTATATTCGATGTAAAATATTGGATCCCAGCATCGATGTTTATCGATATATCGCTAGAAAACATCGATATTTTTTCACTATCGAATACTTTCCACAAAAATTTAATATTACCTTTTTCC